GCGACGCCAAGGAACGGGTCCTCCTCCTCATCCTGGCACAGTGCAATCTGATTACCTCCTCCCTCTCTCCCCCAACGCCTCAGGGGCCCCAGGACACACAAACAAATACACACAAATAACATAATTCCCCTATATTTTCCTATAATCTCTGGGTTTTTGTCTTCCCGCCCAATTCCCATGGTTTCCCATATTTTCTGGGGGATCGACGACTAATTGTGTCTGTGTGTTTTTTCCTCCCGCAACGCCTCCTCCTTCCCTCCTCTTGAGCGCGAGAGGGCATTATCCGTCTGCGGCGAGGCAGAGGCAGTCCGCACCAGCGCGGGGCGGGAAGGCACATAGCCCCAGACATGCCCGCGTCGTGAAAGCGCCAGGGCGGGAGGTTCTGGGCGATCTGCGGCCTCCACGGGCCCCTACTGGGCCCTGGGGCTGCCAGAACACAGATCGGGATGGAGCATCAGGTGGCGAGGAAAGGATCGGGACCTCCGCGGAGCCCACATGGAACAAGTCAGGACGTCGCATGCCTGGGGGCCTTGCGCGCGAAGCCTTCGCGCGGCCTTGCGCCGCGGCTTGCCAAGGCCGCCAGCGTGGCAGGCCGCGTGGAGAAGAGGGCGCTCACGCGTGACCTTACGCGCGAGTGTCTGCGCAGTCGGCCCGGTTCCCTTCCTCCTGCCCACCTGACCACGCTGTGCATCCACAGAGGAAGCGCGACTGCGTTGACACAAACTTTGGAAACTGGGTGGCGCATGAGGCAACGACGGGCCCAGCCCAGGTTCGGGGGCGCAGAAAAAGCGTAAACACACACGTTCGGAACTCCGCGCGGATTCCTTGGATCAGCACTGGGGCCCCCATGGCGGCGCCTCCAGCGCCGCGCTTGGCAAGCTCCGCGTGACAGGGAGGGGTTTGCAGCGCCCATCCGAAAGATCTGGGCGGACCGTCGAAAGTCTACTCCAGATTTCGTAATAAAGGGAGGGGGGTCTCATTTCGGGGGGGGGGGGGTCTCTTCCAGGCTATCTTGGAGGGCCTGGGGTGGTCTGGGGACGATGTTTTGGAGGGTTCTCCCACGAGGGGGAGGTCTGAAATGGCTTGTCTTGGAGGGTCCAGACCCCCTCCCTTTTATTACGAAATCTGGAGTATGCTGATGCCAGCTTCTCTTCATCGGATTGGAAACAGGTCGGATCGCCAGCGAGTCGTCCCGAATCGAATCGAAGTCGGATCGTGGCGCCCTGCTCTGGGTGGCCCAAGCCGATGCTGGTGAATCGAACCAAATCGAATCCTATCGAGATCGCGGCGAAACGAATGTGGCCCTCCTCCTCCTCCTCCTCCTCCTCCTCCTCCTCCTCCTCCACTCCTCCCCCCCCTTTTCCTCTCCCTCCTCCGCTTCCCCCTCCTCCTCCCCCGTGGCTGGTCGACCACCCTCCACGACGCGTGTCAGCGCCAGCGTGCGCTCAGCCCAGCCGGCGAAACGAATCGAATCCAATCGGATCGAATGTGGCCCTGCCTGGCCCTTCACTCATCGACCTCCCAACGAGCACGCGCCGCCGAGCTGGAGGCCAACAGAATAGGATGATACAGGAGACCCTGAGGTCTGGGCGTAGCAATATTTGCACACCGGGCGTTTTCGCCCGGTTTCGGGCCCGACTTCGGGCCGTGAGACCATCACGGGTCGATCCTCCTCGGAAACTGCTTCAGAAAGATAGCGGGTATATACCCAAACACATCATCAAGAGCATCAACATGTCAGAAAACTGGGCCAGCTTCGCGGAAGTTTCTTGCAACAGACCCAAGCCAACGGTTGTTGACGCTGGAGAGGCGAAGCAGCTCCAGAAACCGGGCCAGCCTTCCGGCAGGCTGGCCCAGAAGCGCCAGGGAGGAGGAGGAGGAGGAGGAGGAGGAGGAGGAGGAGGGGCCCAGCTTTTCGGGAGGAGGCCTCAGACGCTCGACTGTAGGGCTCGGGTCGTGATTCTCACGATGCTGCACATCGCTTTCGTGACGTCGGCGTAGGTGGCTCCAAGATCGCCGCAGCCCCCCCGCCGGGCGACGCCGGGTGCGCAGCCAGTGGAGCTCTCTGGCAGTTGTTCCTCGTTGTGTTGGACGCTGCACTTTAGCTTTGCAGCGCCTCATGCTTGTCACCATTATCTGCACGGCCTGGATTGGACTCTTTATCTTGGTGCTTTCGACACAGTTCGTTCGCAGTTGGCACCTCCACCTGCCGACCGCGCCTCAGGATCCTCTGCGCCGCGGACTTGAAAAAAAGATCTTTCTGGCAGAAGCGTCTCTTTCCCGTCGAGGGCGCCACCGTCAGTATCGCCCTCGCCCTTCCTTCCTCTCGCCCTCGCCCTCGCCCTCGCCCTCGTCTTTGCCGCCGTCGCCGTCGTCCTCCTCCTCCTCCTCCCTCTCCTGATGGCTTCGTGTGTCGAGTTGGCTTCATGGTAATTTGGCTTCGTGCGTCCTCCTCCTCCTCCTCCTCCTCCTCCTCCTCCTCCTCCCTCCCCTGCTGGTTTCGATTCGTGTGTCGAGTTGGCTTCGTGTGTCGAGTTGGCTTCGTGCGTCCTCCTCCTCCTCCTCCTCCTCCTCCTCCTCCTCCTCCTCCTCCTCCTCCCTCTCCTGCTGGCTTCGATCGCCCGTCCGCCAGGTGGAGCCGGTCCATGCCCACCGTAGTGCCCCCCCCCTCGGTGTGCAAGCGGCTTCGCGTCCTTGCACACCTGGACTCAGGGAAAACGCCATAAGCTGATGTTTTCGGATATTCGCATGTTTAGACAATCGTCCTCGAGACGGGGGCCCGTCCTTGCTTCCTGGGTCACCCTGGGCCGCCTATCTTCGCGCATCGCGCCGCGCGATGCGCGCTTATCTTCCCCTCCTCCCTGCTCCCTGCTCCCTCCGCTCTGCCGCCTCCCTCCCCAGGACCGCCCGATGCCGAATTGGAAGACCGAGCCAGCGATCGAAACATATCGATCTGCCAGAGATCCGCATGCAGATTTGATGGCATCGAAATCCACGCCCGCCAGTCCTAGCCGAGGCGAATACAAGAAGTGCAAACCGAGGTCGGATTTCGGAGTCGAATCGAATCGACATTGAAATCCACGAAATCGTTCCGAATCGACTGACCCGAGATTTCTCGGACTACCTCATGCCTCTCCCCATCAATGGTTTACTCAGACCAGCATTCAAAAACATCTCCACGACCTCCTTTCTCCGCCATTCAAAAAGACCTCTCTCCCCTTCCCAGAGTCGCCTTCTTCTTCTTCTGCTTCTTCTTCGTCCTGCTCCTTCCAAACCATTTTCTTCACAATGCACCGCCATCAACCCGAGACTTGCGCGCACGTCGCAAGCATCGGGCAAACCAAGAGAGACGGCATGGCCAATCTCAAGTTGGCGAGCCCCCGCGTAAATGTTTGGCTTGGAGAAAAAGGCGACCGAAGGACCGACGCAAGTCTAGTAAACAAACACTTGCACCCCCAGGCTCCATAAACGCATGGGCTGGTACAGCACACGGCGTGTCAGGAGAAGTAGGCAGGCAGGGGTGCGGATGACAGAACTACCAACGGAGCAGGCAACACAACCAAAGTAGAACAGCACTGTCAAAACATTCAGCGGCACACGGAGCGAAAATAGAGGGAGATATAGATACCTACATCTACATACATACATACATACATACATACATACATACATACATGCATGCATGCATGCATACATGCATGCATGCATACATACATACATACATACGCGTACATACATACATACATGCGTGCATACATACGTACATACATACATACATACATACATACATACACACACATACATGCATGCATGCATACATGCATACATACATACATACATATATACACATGCATATTTATACACATGCATACATGAGCATGTACATGTTTACATATATGTGTGCCCGTCCCTCCGTACGGGTATGCACCTGTCTACATAGATACACACATGCACGTACGCACATGCATACACACATATACATCTATGCATGCATATACATGCATACAGACAGACCTATGTTCATATGTATACGTGTTCGCGCATATACACATATACATGCGATGCACAAATATGTGTGCACGCGTATGCACATACATTTACACTGGTGTACATGTATGTGCTTATATACTCGCATGCGTATCTGTATGTGCGCGCACACACACATCGGTTGGTATCTTCTGTGATTATATATATATATCCCTATATAGATATGAAGAGCGAAAGAGGGGAGGGATATATAGAGACAGAGAGATAAATAGAGAGAGAGAGAAAGAGAGAGATAGAGAGAGAGAGAGAGAGCGAGCAAAACATAACAAACACGATAGCGAGGAGGAGAGCGAGAGGGGTAACTTTACTTAGAGAGAGAGAGAGAGAGGGAGAAAGAGCGAGTGAGAGAGAGAAAGAGAGAGACGACAAAAGAGAGACAGAGAGAGAGAGAGAGAAACAGATACCATCCCGCCCCCACCCACAGTAGATGAGATCATGCCCTCCCCCTCACTGGAAGGGGGGGCGGATAGGGGGAGAGCGGGGGCCGAGCGGGGCCAGGCAGGCCCCGCCAGAGCGCCATGCAGAATCCCACTCGCCCTCTGGGCGAAGGTACTCCAGATTTCGTAATAAAAGGGAGGGGGGTCTCATTTCGGGGGGGGTCTCTTCCAGGCTATCTCGGAGGGCCTGGGGGGTCTGGGGACGATGTTTTGGAGGGTTCTCCCACGGGGGAGGTCTGAAATGGCTTGTCTTGGAGGGTCCAGACCCCCTCCCTTTTATTCCGAAATCTGGAGTAGTCAAACCCCTCCTGCCCTTGCTCGGGGGAGGGGCACGCCTCGCCCTGCGGCCTCCCCTGGGCCTGGACGGGGGGGAGGGGGGGGGCGAGGTGTCAGGGGGCCAGTTTTGGCCCAAGATGGCTCCCAGAGCGCCCCAGATGCTGCAAGTTGGCATCCAAGATGGCTCGCGATACTTCAAGATGGTTTCCGACATACCTCCAAGAAGGTCTAGGACCGCTC